CAGCTGATCCGTGGGTTATTTTACCTACTAATTACAGCTGATCCGTGGGTTATTTTACCTACTAATTACAGCTGATCCGTGGGTTATTTTACCTACTAATTACAGCTGATCCGTGGGTTATTTTATCTACTAATTACAGCTGATCCGTGGGTTATTTTATCTACTAATTACAGCTGATCCGTAGGTTATTTTACCTACTAATTACAGCTGATCCGTAGGTTATTTTACCTACTAATTACAGCTGACATCCCTAACATTTTCTACGTTTTAGAAAGCACATCGCCGATGGCTTAGCGGTAAGTTGGTGGACATAACACTGAAGACAAAAACCAATATTAAAATGGCGTTACCAAGAGCGTTTACCCTGAATGTTTGATTTCTAATAACTTGTAAAACTACCAATTTGCCTTATTCCATCATTACCCCCAAGAACGTAATAAAAACTTATACACATATCAGTTACCAACACACACACACACACATACTAACCGGGCTAAATTCAACCTTGGGCCGTGCCTTAACAGGGGCACGATAAATCAGAACCATAACATTTACAAGGCACTGAGTCAGAATAACGCCATTAAAAATACTACAAAATTAAATCAAAGTACAAGCCACCTTTCCAGCCTCCCTACAAAACCTGTTAGCTTGGCTTATTGCACATTACTCTATCTCGTGTGAATTTTTTTTTTTTTGTCAATGAATGTTGTTCACCAGCACGACTAGCAAAACGCACGCATGACAGCAGGGTAAGTTGGTTGGGGTCAAACTTTTGTGTCACGCAAACTTCATCTCGCACGTGACTGAGAATACCAAGTTTGTATCTCGATTCGTCTAAGATTTAGAGAGCTCGATAATGACCTCAATAGTTGCTATGACGACCTTATGACGTAGGTGCGCTGTTTAAAACTTGCGACTGTATCTTCGTATCTCTCTCCTTCTCAAGTGTTGTATCAGAAATTGACTAAAAGTTGTTATTAAAGATTCCAGTTGAAACCGGAATATTGTCTGGAAGGGTTTCAGCTTCAACCTAATATTTAGATGTTTAACTACACTTTATTTGAAGGATTAGTATATATTAATGCAACGGTGTGATGTCACTGGTGTGAACTTGACGTCACGAAGGGGATCTTTAACACGTATATATTTGACTACTCCACAGTTTAACGACGCCACGTTTAGACGTACGGTTTTAGTTAGGACAGCAGACTCTGAAATACCAACTAAACCCAATCGGGAGCAACCCCTTCTCATGCAAAGTGAGGGAAAGAGGACCTTCCGACCCAAAGAGTTATTTTAATGAATCTGAGCATACTTTCCGGTACTATTAACAAGATGGTAATCAAAGAGTTAAAGGTTTACAAGCGAAAATTTCAAAGCTTCAAACAGCACCTCGAAATCTACAGATGAAGAAATTGAAAACATTAGTTTTATCTCATATCCGATAACATGTATACCAAGTCTCCCGATTCAGCTCCAACTTCTGTGGAAAGTGTTTTAAATTTTTTGGAATTATTACAACAGTCTAGCAATAGCGCGAAATCATAGCAATCAGACTGAGCATGCTCGAACAACGAGTGTCAAGAATAGCACGTGACCTCGAACATAGTTATTTTAACCCTTACTCTCACACATTATTACCTTCATGAAATCATGTGTTCATGTAAGAACACCACAGTACGTACCCAAGACGCTAGGCACTGTTCTAAGAACACCAATACCAAACTAAAAACACTTACCAGGACACTTTCCATGATGCTTCACCTCAATAGGATGACCCTCACACTTTGCACGCTCTATCTCACAGAGAGACCGGTAAGTACGTCCATCAGTAGCGCAGACGAGTATGGGATTAGCTCTGCTGCACTCTATGGTGCACTCTTTCTTCTTATCCGAAGAATGTAGCAAAAACTGAGAAAAACAACAACATAACGTATAACATATTCCGAAGCAACTCAAAAACACAATACAAATTTATTTTTATCTTTAAATTCTATCAAAATGTGGTTTCATTCTTTTTTTTATTTATGGGTTAATCCTTATACGTGAAGTTTTTCTAATTCTTTATTAACAAACATTTAGATCAGTCCTAACCCACATGTTCCATTCTCTCGTATGGCCTCGACCGTGGCGTTGCGCGTCGGTGATTTGAATTTTACACCAGCAGGCGCACCACCAGTTGGGCTGCGGAATACACTTTGAGCACCACTGATTAAGATACGAGGTCTTAGTTACTGTTTAACTACATTATTATTTTAAAGTTACATATTAGATCTAATGAACCAAACTATAGACAGGTGGTCCCCTTAGCTGACGGTTTGTTTTTTTTTTGTTGTTGTTTAACTTGTCAGAAGCGATGAGGATCAATGGTTCATGATTTTCTTAATGAGGATCAATGGTTCATGATTTTCTTAATGAGGATCAATGGTTCATGATTTTCTCAATCAGTATCAACGGTTCATGATTTTCTTAATGAGGATCAATGGTTCACGATATTCTCAATGAGGATCAATGGTTTATGATTTTCTTAATGAGGATCAATGGTTCACGATTTTCTCAATTAGGATCAACGGTTCATGATTTTCTTAATGAGGATCAATGGTTCACGATATTCTCAATGAGGATAAACGGATGGTGATTTTTGCTATTGAAGCTACCCCCTTTACAGAAGATGAATAAAATGCTTTTATGGGAATTCTGTTGAAGGCCGATACTTTTATGGAGAGTGAGCAGCGCATCTGATTCTTTAAGGAAAATGTCTCGTAGAAGAATAATGAAACCCTCGTTGTCAAGAGTATGCGACGTAGAGACTATTAGCAAAACATTGAAACGTTCCAGTTTCTAGGGTATCCGAATTATTACAGAGATGAAACCTTTTGATCAGTAGTTGCTTCTACAGCATATAATTCATCATATACTAAACTATCTGAAAATCAGTGACACACCATCAACAACTGACACTGCTTCGTAAATATCAACTAGAAAAGAAATAGCTGAGAACGTGACAGTCTTATGTAACGCGAAACATCTTAACATAATTTCAAATAATCAGATTTAATGTATTGGTGGATATCATGAAGAGATCCAGCTGCTATTAAGATATTAAGACTTATTACTAGGTTTTATTGCATCATTCTCTTCTGGGTGGGGTGAGAGAGTAGGTATTAAGCACAGAATTTCACTCGAGTTATTTTCTACACTTCATGTATTCATCTCTTTCTTTAGTTTTGAAAATCCTTCCAAGTCCAGCTGGACTGCGATATTATCAACCAGTAATGTGTAACCAACCACATTCCAGAGGAAGGAAAGCGGAGAGAAAGCAGCAAGGGTCCTTACAAGTTGTACATTTGCTGAAAGACCCCCCGCCCCCAAAGAGCGGACAGAACATGTGAAAAAGTCATAAAAAAACAACAACACAGCCCTGTTAACAAAAGCACTGAATTTGCTTTATTCAACAATAGAGTTAGGATGGGCCTACAAACATCTCATAAAAGAGGTTTTTGTTGCTCTGCCTATACGGTAACTTCAAATGGGGTTTAAACAAATGACCTGCATTCTCTGAAAACGTTGTTGAGCAAAAAAAAAAAAAAAAAAAAAAACTACAACTAAACAAAAAAACGTTCACATGAAAGAGACCGTTTCTGGTCGCTTACTGACTGTATTGTCTGAGCACTGGGAAGCCGCTGATACAACCACAGTACTGGAAGGTAATGGATGGTCTTTAAAGAAGGTGTGTACAACTTCGCCTCTGTTATTGTTTGACAGCTTAACTTAAGATTAACAATCCGTTCCAGCGTTCTCCAAAGTCTTCACTCTTAATTCCTTATAACAACGAGGATGCGGTAGTTTTCACGACTGTTGTCATGACAACCGTCCACAAGATGTTGTGTAACTAACTTCGGAATCGATAGAATGGATTAATTGTTCTTGTCTAATGACATGATTAATTGTTCTTGTCAAGTTAGATTAAAAAACCGTTTTAATGTTTGTGCTTAAGAACAAACTAACAAATAAAAACAAAGCTATACAATAGACTAGCTGTGCTCTACCTATCGCGGGTACCTAAACCCGGTTGTTAGTGTTATAAGCCCCTGAGACTTACTGCTGAGCCAACGGCGAACATATTTTGATGTAACCTAAGATGTATTCGGGAGAGGACAGCCACGCCTCTAAACATTGAAAACAAAGCTATAGTTATAGAACAGCTGCTCAGTGGAAAGCTTGTGGGCTTATAATACTAAAACCCGGGTTTCTATACCCATGGTGGGCACAGCGTAGATAGCACATTGTGTAAATTTGTGCTTAAACACAAATTAATCAAACATTTAGTAGAGGGTACATTTCCAGTTTTATTATTTTAATTAGATGTAGGGGACAACATTTCTAAAACTTCTACCACAGCTCTAAGTTCTGTAAGTTCTACCACAGCTCTAAGTTCTGTAACTTCTACCACAGCTCTAAGTTCTGTAACTTCTACCACAGCTCTAAGTTCTGTAACTTCTACCACAGCTCTAAGTTCTGTAACTTCTACCACAGCTCTAAGTTATGTAACTTCTACCACAGCTCTAAGTTATGTAACTTCTACCACAGCTCTAAGTTATGTAACTTCTACCACAGCTCTAAGTTTTGTAAC